TGTTAAAAATATTTAAAATTGATGAAATTTCAAAATCACCAGAAATGGCTATTTTTCAAAAAGTTTTTCAACAATCACCAGATTTTTCATAAAATCACCAGATCTGGTGAAATTTCACCAGACCTGGCATCACTGTGTTTACGTTCTCGCGTACATAAGAATCAAATTCGAAGTTTTCGTTCAGAGTCGAAAGACGGCGGTGTCGTCAGGGGCGTGCGGTAAAATTTGAAGTACAAGGCGCAGCGTGTCGCAGTGGGCGCAGTGCTCACTGCGCCTTGCCGGCAAACAGCAGCGCGCGGCAAGGGTTATATCGTTATCTGGGCATTCAAAATTGAAAAAAAAAAAAATATGGGGATTATGGGATAATGGGACAAAAATCATAGCGTTTAGCGTTTGTTCTATTGGGGGATTTCCATAAAATAATAGATAATTACGATACAAGTGAGTTAACAGCATAGGTACTTAAGATACCCAGCCAGCAAGGGTACGTCATATTGACGTCCTTATATGGTGATAATTCGTCAATACTCGTCACCTGACCAAAAACTGACGACATATTGACGTGTGATAAATGCCGTTCAAATGACGTGCTTTTTATCACGTAATATTGACGCGTTTTTCTGGTGATAAATGTAATACACATTGACGTCAATATATATCATGTAATATTCACGTATTTTGCTTGTGGTTCAGTAAACCTGGTTTTTTGAATTAGTTTTCTTTTTTCAATGTGTTTTGAATGTATTCCTAGAATTCCTAGGGTTGTGCCGTGTATACTGTATTCTATAGTGAATAGGAGACAAAGTGATGATACAAATCATTATTTTTTTTCGCATTTGTAACTACTCACGAAAATTTTGATCGAATCGAATGCGAATAATACCCCTACCCTCGCATTTTTTCGACATCCTGTTTTTTTAATTTTTACTACAGCAAAACTTTGATGCGTTTGAAAACACATCTTTGAATAAAAATTAAATGGAAAACTCCCATAGTTCATACTCATAGTTCCATCTCTGACTTTCAAATAGTATAGAAATAAACGGTAGAAACTGTGGAAAGGCCAGAAAGGGGACGTATTTGGTTTGTTTTTGTGTTTGGTCAACGGTTTGGTGAATGCGGAAATTACTGTATTCCTTTTATACATCGAGTGACACCGAACAAACACCGAACGAAAAACGTTCAAGCTTCTGACTTTGAGCAGCTCCGAGTAACTCAACGGGAAAAAGGAAAAGAGTAAATACAAATACATTCACTCCTGTATTTTTTTTGTTTCGAAATTCTAGCATTAGTTTAGTATTAGTAAGGGACAACAATAAATATTGCATCGCCGCGTGGGGAAACGAATATGCTATTCAGCGAATTCTATTGGTAGAACCAGTGCAGAAAAATGTTTTTTTATCTCTTTCTTATAGAAGTCGGTAGAAAAGACACGAACACACTCAGTGCGCACTAACCCTTCCAATTCGCTACTGTGTGTGTGACTGTTGACGTTGATTGTTGTGAGGGAGTTTGTTGAGGTTATGTTGTGGTTGTAGCATGGCGTGGTCGTGTTTCATTTGGTTTTCCCTCGCTTTTTGCTTTCTCATTTCCCGCCAAGTTTCCCTCATTTCTTTTTTACGCAAGTATCGCGTGGAATTATTAATTCTTGATATATTTTTCGGTTTTAATTTCTCTTCAGAATCATCCTGCTGCATCCAAGTGAAACGCCTCTATATGAATGTGAGTTTTATTCACGTGTTTGTGTTGAGACTAATAACAATCACCAACCGTAAGTATATGTCTTTTGTTTTAATATACCTTATTTTATATTATAATATACATTATTATTATTGCTTGTTCACCTAAGGGCCAACTTATGGACCAACAGGTAAGTGTCTGGTTGTTACCTCACTTAGCAAGTACTACAAGTAATATGTTTAATACGCCTACAGAATATTTATATTGTCTTTTTTTAAATATATTTTTCTCAAAAGTGATATAGTGTTGGTTCATTTTCGTTACAGGTCATATAAATTTGAAAAAACAAGGATTTATAGAAAATATATCAGGTAAATATGACGTCATTTATAAAATAGATATCACGCGAATGGAACGTTATTAATACGCCAATATCACGTTAAATAACTCATAAACTTGACGTCAAATAACACGTAAAAATGACGTACCAACTATGACGTCATTCGTCCCAGACATTAGGAAGTCATTTTCACGTCATAATTAAGTCATTTAGCTCGTCATTTCTCGTCACTTGATGACCAGTATTTAACGTCATTTTCACGTGCTGTTGTTACTTGGGTACACGCGTGTGGATTAATGTGGAAGTTGCAGTTGTGTATCTCACTGCCGTAGATACATATACAGGGTGTCCCACGACGTTTTTCCCAGGTAATAACTTCGGAACGCGTCATTTAATATAATTGAAATTTTGAGGATCTGGGTAACTTTTTGTGCCGCTTCTATCATTGGCATCCAATTTCACCACTTTTGCTTCAATTTTGGTCAAGTGACCGTTCGAATCTACAATGTAACTCATGGTATATTATGCCATTTTTCGTTAGAAAATTAAATTACAAAATCGGTAATGCCATATTTGTTAAGGCTTTGTTAAAGAAAATGATGAAAAATTATACAGTGGAATACGATGATGCATTCCGAAGTTATCATTTGGGATTGCGAAATCTGTGAAGTTTTTCAATTCTACAATAAAAATGTTAGAATAGTTATTTATGTATCAAGGGTACTAAGTAGATGATTATGCCCTGAGGGCGACAGTCTTACAAAGCCGAGGGCCTCTGGCCCGAGGGTTCGTAAGTCGCCCGAGGGTATATATATCTATTAGTACCCGTGGTGCATACAAATTTTTATGTCATACCAGTTGGTTGTGAATAATAAATACCTGGGAAAAAAGTGTCACTTTGCAAATTGTCATCAGTGTCCAAAATCATCATTTTTTGACAAAAATAATATGTTTATAAGCGTAAATTTATATTTTGTTAATAAAGAATAAGTTAATTGAAAACTTTTTTTTGCGTCTTTATGCCCGCGCGGCCCATAATGTGTACTTTATGCCCGCACGGGCATAAGGTAATGAATTATATAGATGGTATCTAAGGTATAAAAACACAATAATGTATTGGTATGACATAAATATTATTTATGTCCGATTTTTCTATAATGTGCTTGTTTAATATTATACCTACACACAGTTTAGCCGAGATGAAGTGGAGCTTTATCGTACTATAGTACCTAACATAAGGGGTCGGTTTCGTCGATAACGAGTGATTTTAACTCCAGGCTGAACGTATCCAGTTGCAATGCTATATGCTTAACCCGGAGGTGATTACTATTGAGAAACCGACCCAAAGTGAGTTTAGCGGAGATGAAGTGGTACTTTGTTGTTCCTACTAGTAAAATAAAGCAGCTTTATTTTACTATATAGCAGCCTAGTGTGACCAGAGCTGGGCAAGCTACTTGGAAAAAGTAGCTAGCTACAAGCTACAAGCTACTTTATATTGTAAATAGCTAAGTTACTCAGTAGCTCAACTACCTCTTTGAAAAAGTAGCTAAGCTATTAGTAGCTTAACTACATTTTGAATTTTTGAAAGCTACTATTTAAGCTACTTTTTTGAAAGTTAAATTGATAAAAACAAAAAAGCGTGCACAATCGCCACCATCAATGTACATACCTTACCTAATTTAATTTCATAATATCATCATACGAAAATAACATATTAACTTTCTCTAAGAAGTAGTATTCATATTTTTTTCAAAAACCATTGGATATTAATTTATTAGGTTCACTTTGATCACAGTGATCAGCGAATGCGAGAAAATAGGACACATAAAACATAGGTACCTACAGAGATAACTAGAAACTAGTCTAAGCAAGACAGGATAAGAATTTTCCGGAAAATGATAATTGTAGCTTGAGCAATTAAAGTATAAAGTTACTTTTATCGAGCGGTAAATTCAAACGCGGGCGATAGGTTGGTGGAAACGTGCCTTTATAAGGGGAAAACTGTTTATTTTTGCAAACAATGTCGAATGGATGTCATTATATTATAGGTATAGTTATTTCATTTTTGAACTAGAAGGAGTCCGCTGCGCATAAAGCATAATAAGTATTTTGGGAGTTAAGTATCGTTAACCACACCCTCGGGCGGTAAATGACCTAAATAGTAAATAACTATTAACTATCTACCAAAAGTAGCTTAAGTAGCTTGTTTTAGTAGCTAGCTACTTTTCACAGTAGCTTATGAATACTTGAAACACATTACCAAAAGCTACAGCTACAAGCTACTTTTTTTTTCAAAGTAGCTTGAATAAGTTATTAGCTACCAAAAAAGTAGCTAAGCTAGTAGCTTAATTACTTGGTAGCTAGCTACTGCCCAGCTCTGAGTGTGACGCTTTTATGATAAATTCAAGTCTATAATACCTACCTACATGGTTTTAGGAAAATTTTGTCTGGTTTCTCAATAGCAAGTCACCCCCGGGTTAAGCATAACTTCGGGTTAAACATTGCAACCACTGGCGTAACTAGCCATCTGACCTGGGGGGGGGGGGCCTAGGGTGGGCCTGGCAGAGGCGCCGATTTTTGAAAGTCCTCATAGGTGCAGGGGAAACTCGCCGTAGGCGCCGGCTGAGGCGAAAAAAACCCAGCTTATCAGCAACTATAAAGTCATATCAGCAACACCGATTCACTGATTCACAGGAAAAATATTTAGTCAAACTCCCAAATAATCTGTTATATTGCTAATGCTAATTTAATGGCTTTGGTCAAAGAATATTATAGTTAACACTTATAGAAAACCTATTCCATGTATATTTTTTGACCCCCAAAATGGAGCCAGACTTTTCGAGCCGGGGCTCCATCGGAGTGGTAGACTCGCCGTAATCAACGTAGCTCCAGTTGATGGCTAGTCGGCGTTGCCATATGTCCATATAAATATGTATAATAACTTTAAAACGGTGACCGCGCTGATGTGAAAAAACACGATATGCGGGAAAAAAATGGAAGGTTTTGTCTTGAAAATATCGCTGAAAAATTGCTAGACGATAATCGCAGTTCGAACTCGAGTTTCTTACAGAAATATCAAAGTTTTTCAATTTTTTTTCTGGAAAACTGGCTAAGTAAAAATTGTGCAATTTTTTCAGGTGGAAGACAAAAGTGAGGAGCTTCTTATAGGAAAATTTCAAATTTTTCCAATGGAAAATCATTCCACGAAAAATTCTGAAAAATTGTCTTTTTTAAGCTGAATTCATTTTCTTACATTTAATTTTTTTCCTAGAAAACTGGCAAAAGGAAAATTGTGAAATTTTTTCAGAAAAAAGAGGAAAGTGAGGATCTCATTATAGCAAAATTTCAAAATTTTCCAGTGAAAAAACACTCCAGGAAAAATTTAGGAAAACTTACTTTTTTAGGCGAAATTCATTCTTTTATATTACAATTATTTTCTGAAAAATTGGCAGAGTGAAAACTGTGATATTTTTGCAGGAGAAAGACGAAAATGAGGAGCCTATTATAGGAAAATTTCAAAATTTTCCAGTGGAAAATCATTTCAGAAAAAATTCTGGAAAATTGACTTTTTCAAGTAAAATTCATTTTCTTTCTTTTTAGTTTTTTTCTAGAAAACTGGCAAAAGGAAAATTGTGAAATTTTTTCAGAAAAAAGAGGAAAGTGAGGAACTCATTATAGCAAAATTTCAAAATTTTCCAGTGAAAAAACACTCCAGGAAAAATTTAGGAAAACTGACTTTTTTAAGCGAAATTCGTTCTTTTATATTACAATTATTTTCTGGAAAATTGGCGGAGTGGAAATTGTGATATTTTTGCAGGAGAAAGACGAAAATGAGGAGCTTATTATAGGAAAATTTCAAAATTTTCCAGTGGAAAATCATTTCAGGAAAAATTCTGGAAAATTGACTTTTTTAAGTAAAATTCATTTTCTTTCTTTTTAGTTCTTTTTCCAGAAAACTGACAAAAGGAAAATTCTGAAAATTTTCCAGAAAAAAGAGGAAGCCGAGTTCATTAAAGTAAATTTTTAAAATTTTCTAATGAAAAGTCACTCGAGGAAAAATTCTGGAAAATTGACTTATTTAAGTAAAGTTAAGGAAAATTTACCCTCTTACATTTTAATTCTTTTCTTGAAAACTTGCAAAGGGAAAATTTTGAAAATTTTCCAGGAAAAAGAGAAAAGTGAGGAGCTTATTACAGGGAAATTTTGAAATTTTCCAGTAAAAAATCATTCCAGGAAAAATTCAAAAAAAATTGACTCAAGGCAAAATTGAGGAAAATTCACCCTCTTACATTTTAATTTTTTTCTGGAAAACTGGCAACGGGAAAATTTTGAAATTTTTACAGGAGAAAGAGGAAAGTGAGGAGCTCATTAGAAGAAAATTTCAAAATTTTCCAGTGAAAAATCACTCCAGGAGAAATGTATTTATATATTTTCGGATAACTGAATAAACTCTATTCTAAGTTAAAATAGTATATTTCCTAACTAGTGCGGAGAGTACCACTTTTCCGCACACGATTGTAGTTTGTCGAGCGACGCGCAGCGAAGTTCGGCAAGCAATCAAGTGTGGAAAGAGACTTCCCGCACGAGTTAGGAACACTATTTTTTTCTACGAGATGAAAGGTAATATTTTTATCTACATATTTATCAATTTAAGATATTTTTTTTTCACTTTCTTGTACCTATACCTGGTAGTATATCTGTTTATCTGTAAGTACAGGGTGGCCCAAATTCGAGCCTCATCATTGGGATCTTCGAAACCGTAAGAGATACAGGGTCGGTTAAATTATGGCAAAGTTGCGCATTTTGATGCTCAACAAAATGCCGCTTTGATATTCAGGATATTCCGAATACTTCCGGAGATATCCAGAAAAATTTCGAAATTTTGCAAAATTGTTTTTATTTTTTCCTGACTTTATTTGAAGTGATATTTCGAAAAAAATATCACTTCATCGTAGCCACTTTTTCTTCACTACAAGATGCTACCATCAAATTTAAAATCTGACGTTTCGTCTTTTGGCCACCATCATCAACTTATTTTTTTTAAATACGACCCTGGATTTTTTATTTCAGATTTTGAGAGCTTCTGATATTCCAAAACCTATGACGTATCGCATTTATCCGAAAATAGTTATTTATGCAACAAGTGTGTAAAGTGAACCTTTTTTCACGAATGCGAATTTTGACGCACGAGCCGAAGGCGAGTGCGACAATCACATGAGTGAAAAAAGGTGCTTTACGCAAGTATTGCATACAAAAATTTTTCTACTACCAATCAAATATGTGTACAAAAATAAATTTAGTCAAAAATAAATTTAGTCACTAGTGCGTAAAGAATTTTCATTTTACGAGCTAGTGCGTGAAGTGATTTACCAGAAAAATGCCAAATTGACAGTGTCGACATCTGTCACTGACATTACTTTACGCACTAGCGTCTTCTGAATAGCGCGTAAAGTGAGTACTTTACGCACGGTAGTAGAAAAAATATTTTTTTTTTTACTTCTTAGTAATTTCTTACCAAAATTCTTTTCTCTGTCTCTCTCTAACACATTTAGTTCTTATGGAAAGTGCCAATAATAGAAATTTTTTGAATAAATGCGATACGTCATAGGTTTTGGGATATCAGAAGCTCTTGAAATCTGAAATAAAAAATGAGGGTCCGTAGGGAAGGGTGGGCCACGTTGAGACAGTTTTCACTTTTTTGGGGATAAAATTAGTAATTTTAATTTTTTCGCTACAGTTTCGTGAGCCTCATAATCTTTCATCTTATTGCAAACATTTTTTGAATAAATTATTAGCACAATATTATTTATTTTATTTTATAGAGGAATCTAAAAAAATTTGATTTTGTCTCAAGGTAGCCCATGAGGTGGGCCACTTTGAGACATACATAAAAACCGAGAAACAAGGAGAAAAATAAGGTTTATTCAAAAATAATACATTGTAAGGAGGGCAGTAATATAACTTTTCTTCATTATTTTGTGTTTTTTCAACATATCTTGAAAATGTTTGATGCTTCACGTTGTTTTTCTCTGCTGCATTCCTTAAAGCTTAATTTATGTTCAATCACATGTTCGACAGGCTTTTTTATTGATTCGGCACTATACAGGCCTTTTGAAATTTTTATTTGCGTCCTCGTGACATGTTTTGAACTTGTTTTGAACAAAATATTTTTTTCTCAACATTTGAGACACGTCTCAAGGTGGCCCAAACTTCGTGTCTCATTGTAGCCCATGGTAGGTCTGAGTTACAAACCGCAATATTTGGGTAAAACGTGAAAAAATCCACACGTATATACATAAACAATAAAATTAATATCCACCTGTTGTGTTGGAAACCTCAGAACAAAATGAAAATATATTGGGAACGACTGATGAAGTACTGAACTTACGGCAAAAGAAATTTCACCATGGCGAAAACAAATCGAAACCGGCCAAAAATTTGGGGGCGCACGTGCAGCTTCTCTGGCAACAGAAATAAGACTAACATGTTTAATACTTGATGTACTGTGAAATGGAGACAAATAGCCCACGGTATTAAAAAATAATGGCGATTGTCTCATGGTAAACGCGTCTCATGGTGGCCCACCCTCCCCTATATAGAAAAATAAAGTTGATGATGGTGGCCCAAAGACGAAACGTCATATTTTAAATTTGATGATAGCATCTTGTAGGAGAGAAAAAGTGGCTAAGATGAAGTAATATTTTTTTTGAAGTATCACTTCAAATAAAGTCAGGAAAAAAAAACATTTTGCAAAATTCTGTTTTTTTCTGGATATCTGCGAAAGTATTCGAAATATCCTAAATGTCAAAGCGGCATTTTGTTGAGCATCAAAATGCGCAACTTTGCCATAACTTAACCGACCCTGTATCTCTTACGGTTTCCGAGATCCCAATGATGAGGCTCGGATTTGGGCCACCCTGTACCTGTATACCTAAAAATTCCAGGTATTCTACTTTTCCGCACGGAGTGCGGAAAAGTAATCATTTTTCCGCACTCAGTGCGGAAAAAAACGGAAAAGCACTAGTGCGGAAAAGTGATACTTAAATTACCTAAAATGCGTGCGGAAAAGTACACTTTTACGCACGCTCGTAGAAAAAATGTATTACAAAACAAAAACTCCGAAGGTGCTCTTTGAAATAATCTATGACTTAATCTTTTCTTTAAATTGTTATGACGTCATCGATGACGTAAGTAAAAACCCTCGTGCCTTGCAACGAATTATACATATGTTTGGTTGAAATTTCAGACATAAAAAAACCTATTTTTCAAAAAGGCAAATGATGACGTAAGTACAAACCCTCGTAAAACTAACTTTTTTTTACGCGTCTCATTTCGTCAGCACCCCTTGAATAGGGAATTTTCATATTTCTCAATTTATTTTTTTTTAGATACTTCTAGCGATCAGATATTACATGGTTTAATTTTTTTCCATTTTAATTTATACTTTGTACGAAAAAAAAATTATTGAAATTCAAATCAAAAACTTTGGCGCGAAAACGCCAGGTTTCAATATGACAGCACTTGTGACATCAATATTTCGTAAACAACAAACGCAGCAAACGAACTCCTGCTGACGCAGTGCTATTTTTGTGTTATTTAAAAGTGGAAAAGCTTTCTTTTTGTGAAAATTGTCGCGATGGATGAAGAATATTGTATAGTATAGGACTACTTTTGGAATTAAATTTCACTTGCAAGTTTCCTCTTGACAAGCTTGTTTACAGAATCGTGACGTCAAAAAAAGGGGCCATCATGGAAGGATTGTTTTGGCGGGAATTTTTTTATTCCAAATTTACTATTATTTTTTTTGTAACAAGGGAGGTATTAGTTGAATGAAAACTGGTCATATGAATATTTTACAGTATAAACTATCGATTTAAATCAAATTTGGATAATTTTATTTCCCTTGCAAGTTCCCTATTTGGAGCCTAGTTGCGCTTATGCACATCCTGAAAATGCCAGACAAAAAAAATCCTGTGCAATTCACACCCGGTAGAAGTGAAACTTTCATCGAACTGCATGCATTATTACACACATACTAACATACACAGTGGCGTCCCCCCCTCCAAAAGACTTGAGAAAGAACGCAAATAAATATAGTTAGAAAAAACTAAAATACACGCTGGGGTGCTTGGTTCCACATTTCTCATATATTGAGCACCCCACGCTTTTTTGACAATAATTTTAATATTTTTTGTTCATTAATATTTTCTGTTTATATTAAAAATTATTTTTCACTTAAACCATGTTTTTTAAGTTTTTCAAAATATATTTATTTTTCACTTTTTAGTTCGATGTATTAAAAGCGTGTCAACCCCAGAGATTTCCAGACTTTTCCAGACATTATCCAGACTTATTTAGAGCTTTCCAGAGTTTTCCAGAGTTCATCCAGATTTATCCAGTCTTGTACAGACTGATCCGGATTCTGGAACATGATTCCCAGGTCTTTTGGAACCTTTTTCAGAATTTTTCCGACCCTTTCAAGAAATTTCCAGACATTTTTCAGACGTTTCCACAGATTTCCAGACATTATCCAGACTTATCCAGAGCTTTCCCGAGTTTTCCAGACTTCATCCAGATACATCCAGACTTGTTCAGACTGATCCGGATTCTGGAAAATGATCCCCAGGTCTTTTAAGACCTTTTTCAGAATTTTTCCAACCCTTTCCAGAAATTTCCAAGTCTTTTCCAGACGCTTCCAGACAATATCCAGACTTATCCAGAGTTTTCCAGAGTTTTACAGACTTTATCCAGATTTATCCAGACTTTTACAGACTGATCGGGATTCTGGAAAATGATCCCCAGGTCTTTTGGGACCTTTGGCAGAATTTTTCCGACCCTTTCCAGAAATTTCCAGGTTCTTTCCAGACATTCCCAGAGCTTTCCAGACTTCATCCAGATTAATACAGACTTGTTCAGGCTGATCCGGATTCTGAAAAATGATCCCCAGGTCTTTTGGAACCTTTTTCAGATTTTTTCCAACCCTTTCCAAAAATTTCCAAGTCTTTTCCAGACGTTTCCAGAAATTTCCAGACTTTTCCAGACAATAACCAGACTTATCCAGAGTCTTAGAGACTTTATCCAAATTTATCCAGACCTTATCCAGACTTGTACAGACTGATCCGGATTCTGGAAAATGATCCCCAGGTCTTTTAGAACCTTTGGCAGAATTTTTCCGACCCTTTCCAGAAATTTCCAGACTCTTTCCAGACGTTTCCAGAGATTTCCAGACCTTTCCAGACTTCATCCAGATTTATCCAGACTTGTTCCAGCTCACTTGGCTTGTTCCAGGTTCTTGTTGTGTGTTGTGTGTTAATATAAGCGTGTTAAAAAAGTGTTGCTTTTTCGTTTCTCATCGAGTCTCAAATCACTCCCAACGATTCTAAAGAAATTTTCACTTCAAAAATGACTCCACTCAACATTCCCTATCTCACGCAGAGCATAATTTTGTTTTAGATTATACATATATTTTCTATTTATACAGCAAATTAGACGTAGCAACTAGGTATTCAGTAGCAACAGCAACTGTATTATTTTATGAATGTCTATTATATGATTTATTGTAACTTTTGTTTTTTTTACATATCATCTAATATGTCGATGTAAAAAATTCTAAAACCGCCGCGCCAGTTAGTCTATCATCTTACAAGGTAAAATCACAAAAAATATTAAATGCCCGAGAGAATCGCGCAACGCTGTTAAAATTTGTTTGCCGAAAAGCTAGCGCGAATATAAATTATTTCAATTTATAACACCGGAGCAGCGCCTCTAGCGGTCTGCCGTCGCCCATAAGCGTGGGTTTTCTATAGTTAACTATAATATTCTTTGCTTTGGTATACTGAATAACTTCTGCACATTGCAATTTGCACTGACCTTTGGGTGGCACAATTGCACACAGCCCGTTCGTTGGTGGATCGGAGGATCGAATAGGGTCGATCGGGATCGCCGCGCATTACCGTTCAAATTTAGTAGGTAATAACATAAAATTATAATAGGTAACGTAGCTCTCATAAAATACCAAATTATTAAAGTTTTTTCTGGGGGGGGCCTAGCGACGTCTGGGGGGGGGTCCCGGCACCCTAGGCCCCCCTGTAGTTACGCCACTGATTACAACTGGGCACGTTTACCCTGGAGTTAAAACAAACCCGGAGGTGACCCGATATTGAGAAACCGATCTTCAGGAAATTTGTTCTTGATGTGGTTAATGTGGTTGAAAATCGTAGATGTGGTGTCACCATCCACTAAACGCGTGTAAAAGCAATATTTTGTTTTGTTCCATACTCTTGGGCCCTGTATACTTTTTGCAGATTACCTACCTACCTAAATCTTTTATGAAGTTTTTCCCCATCCAAGTTTTAAGAAATAAACTTTGGATGATCATTTGCTAGTGCAACTGGAAGTAAGATAAGATCGATGTTATCTTCAACGATAAGCAATAAGTATAAAACGATGAGGATGTTGCTATTGCTGTCCTAACAATCAACGTATCGCTGTCTTTTATAGCCTGATGAACAGTTAATAAGTTTTGACTCCTCAAATTTATTTCTCAGCAAAAAAAAAACCATGACAACTTTTGTTGTGTTCGCAGAAGTTTGCTTTTGTACAATAAATGCAGCACGTGTGACATAATTTGCTGACCCGAGCACAGCCGGCTATTTTCTTTATGACGCTTTCGCAGTGTTCAGTGTTGTGTTCGTTTATGCTGTGCTTGATGGCCGTATATGTTATTATTTATATTAATAGCTAGAACAGATTGAAAAAACTGTATTGAATTTTCATTATCAGTAGGTTTTTTTTTGTTTATTTACTTTTCTCTACATTGCAACGGACAGGTTCCTTCCCAAATCCCAAGTAGGTAAAGTTTGTTTCGCCAGGGTTTGTACTTGCCACCAGCATTTACCTTCCTTGTTTAACAAATATAAATTGACTGAAATAAATCAATGACGTCAAAAACGTTCGTCGGTTCTTAAAAGAGAAGTCATTCATTTTAATTTGTCAAAAAAATTGAATGTGTCATATGAATTAATCTGCGACAACCCTTTATTTTCAAGTTTCAAGGTCAAGTATGAACCCTGGTGAAACGAACCTTACCTACTATATCACTAATAAAACTTTTACAACATGTATTGATACAAAAATACATGATTATGAAGACCAAGACCGGAACTTGGATTAACCCGCACAAACACCAACTTCTAATGCCTGGTATACTGCTTATAATGATCGAGTAGGTTCTTACCATAATTCCGGATACGGATGTAAAATAAATAGTAGCTCGTAGCTTTAATCCATCGAGTTATAAGTACCAGAATGATAAGTGCTTTATTGCCTTATTGGCACTTCCAGACTATAGTCATACGCGTGATATCAATTTGTCAGCATAGTATAGCAACTCCTGGATCAAATTCCTATTCAAATATTTTTGCTGAACTCGCTATATGAGATTCATGTGTAAAGTGATCAAAACACACCTCAACATTCTCAAATTCCGAACATCGCCTTATCAAGAAGCCCGCTAACTTCTCTATCAGCAACGACCTTCAGATCCTTCATCACTATTGGTTTACTCGTATGAGATTCAAGCCGTCAACGCTACAATTGTATAATCAATAGTGAGCCATTTCCTGGAAAACCAAACCCTGGGATTTTTAAATTATTTAGAATTAGCTATTGAGACAGACAGATGAAAGGTTATTTCACGAAAGTCATTGCTGGTAGCCCGAACGTATGAAACCAGAAGATGGCGAAGAGAAATTTGTAGTTTAGGTAAATCAGAACAGAAGCTATATCATACCTTCTCTCACATGGGTAAATGGTAAATCTGTAAAAAAGCCATCTCGAAATCAAAGTATATCGAGTCAACTTGTGAAGTTGATGCCATAAGTCATGTCCTATTGTGTTGGAGTAGATGCAAATTAATTGAACAAACATTTACATCCACAATGAATGATACGGCTCTTTTGCCGAATGGTTGAAGTTATTCTGCTATGTTGTTGTTGTCGATGATAACAATATCGTATTTTAATCGGTAATGATTGGTGTAGAATATAGATCAAGATAAATATCATTATTTCGCCAGTGACGGTTTTTGAAGATGATCTCCAAGGCTAGTTTCGGTACTGGGAGTACAAGATAAAAATCGATATTTACATATTTTTTCAAGATAAAGGTTATTTTGCCATTTTTTTTTTTTGAATGAACGGTAGTAATAAATCATGATATGTTCAAAGATAAATCCCATTGATAAGATTAAGTTTGATTTTTTTTAAATCAATCAAGTTTATTGTTGCAGAGAACAGTTGAAATATTTCGCATCTTTTATTCAGATAATGTTCTGAGATTTCCATCATGTTAAAACACGAACTGTTGTGGTTCTTGTTGGTTGTGTGTGCGTTCTTTTTGGGTATGCACTTGCTGATTCATTTTCTTCAATTTTAAAAATTGTATTTTTTTTAGCAACCTCTTCTGTTGCCAATGAAACAGACATTGAATATCCAACCCTAAACCCTGACGCGACGTACTGCTTTGAGTACACTTGGTTTGGACCTGATTACGACAACAATACTATATATAATGGAACTTGTGACGACTTTAAAGACGACACAAGAGCTGGAGATGATATTCCGTGTGCTTCACCCATAGTTATATCATGTAATAAATATCGAGTAAATTTCAATTTTTCAGAATATGATTGAAATTTAACATTTAAGATGATGGAACAATTCCAGATGTCACATACTTATGGAATAATAACAAAGCTAGTGTATTGTGTAGAAAATCGGAAAATCAAGCTTGTGTGACTTATACCTATTGGTATAAGAATTTAAGTAAGTACAGATATAGGTGTACCAGGTGTCTCTAGAGAAACTGTGTCAATTCATACAGGAAAATGTAGGTAGATAATCAGGAAACTAGGAATGTTGACTAAAATTTTATCATGGCAGTTCCAGAAGATGATGTCAACTTGCCTATTAGAAACATACTACCCTACATGAGTGATACTCAAAATTTTCATCAAAAAACCCCTATCTTTTTAATTCAATATACCATTGCCATAGAATTGAGGGTGACTTTCTATTGGGTTCGCCAATCCCCAAGTTTTACAGTTTAAGTTAGATTGCCTCTATGATGTATATGTAGGAAATCAGCTAACAGTGTGATATCCTCTTATTGTTGTTGCTGACTTTTTAACGCTTCTTTTCGCATGCGTTGCATCAAGGGTCGGTGAGTAAAAATAAGCAAGTAGGGAGTAACAAGAAGATTCCAAAAAGTAAAAATAATTCAGTTTGTTTGTGGGTAGGTAGGTACACGTCAACATTCCTAAGTTGCCAATAATGGAAAGCATACGCTGCAGTTCCTCGTGGGACACCAGGTACAACTTACGCTTACAGGGTGTCTTTATTAAAATCGTTTCGAAGTCGATGAATGCTTATTATTTCCATCGTTCTTATTCACAATTATATATTTTTATTTTACTCTATGTGTTGAGATATTTGTTCCCCTATTTCTGCAAACGATATGTATCTGAAGGCATCCTGAGATTTGGGATGCTTTCATCGTTGGTTCTCTGACTTTTTTCTGTAGATTTTCAGAGCTTGTTTTTTAAGCTTCCAGATGTTCAAAGTGATTTACTTGCTCGACAATCTTCTGATCAACGATCAACCTCTAATTGGTGAACTTGTTATTTCTGGGATATCTTCGATCCAACATATTCTGAACATTAGGTATGCGCCATCTGTATGTGCACGTTTCGTTTCTTCCCTATCAAGCTCAGTATAGAATTCCTAAGTCATTTCAAGAACCCCCTTCTCTGTCTTGAAGTTGCCACCTCTATCCTCATATCTCTTTGCACACCTTCATATTTTCATCTCTGAGATATTCCAGGATTCTCAACCTTATTCCGCTTTCCTCCTGATATGTTGCCTTGTTCTCCCTCGATGTAAATTTTTGATCTTACGTTAACTCTCGCAGAGCTGGGCAGGGCTTGAGTGCTTTGTGCTTGCGAAAGTGCTTGAAGCACTTTGAGGACTTGAAAGCCCTGTGCTTCAAGCCCTTTTATAGATTTGTAATTGGGGCTTGCAAAGTCAATTACTTTAGAAAAGTGCTTGGTAATTTGTAATTGAAAAAAGTAATTCAAGCCCTTTCAATGAGCTTCAATTACTTTTAGAGGGCTTGAAGCACTTTTGGGAGCTTGAAGCCCTTTGAAAGGGCTTGAAGCACTTTAAGAGGGCTTGAAGCACTTTAAGAGGGCTTGAAGCACTTTTGGGAGCTTGAAGCACTTTTGGGAGCTTGAAGCACTTTGAAAGGGCTTGAAGCACTTTGAAAGGGCTTGAAGCACTTTAAAAGGGCTTGAAGCACTTTGAAAGGAATTTGAATTGACCATCATTCAACCTATCCCCCACTTAAAAATTTTCGATCGTATTTTCTCCTTTTTTTTTCTATTATTTGTTTTCTCTCTTAACAATGGAGGTTTTGAATTTGAGCTTAGAATGGAATTTAAAAAAAAAAAAAAATGAATGAACTTATTATTCAAATAAATAATTAATTTATATTGGTATCCTATTTAACTTTATCACTTGATTTTTTTCACTTTTCCCCATTGAACATTTTGAAAACCTTAAAATTGAATTACCATGTAGTACCCCAAGTACCCCAGAACTACATCTCAAATAAAACATACTACTGCTACTCTGTGAAATTAAAGTTCGTCTCTACTATACCAATTCTGTGTGATGAGTGTACGCGGTAGCTTTTTGCCCAGCTCTGAACTCTCGCTATGATAGTTATCTGACATCTTGGTCGATATACTTGTTATCAGTGCCAATCTTCGTCGTACCACTTGCGCTTAACGAGGCTCAATTCTGAAGTCGTCCTTTTTAGAAACATAAGTTTCTGGCGTATAGTCTATTAAAGGAGAAAGCCAAAAACATCTCCCTCTACAATTTCTTTCTCGCTCATCAATGTTCCCAAACCAGTTTCTACTTCATAAGCCAGTTGAAAACTTTTGACACCGTATCTTTATAGGGCGTTCTGTCTACATAAATTGTAGAAAGGATGTTCAATGTACAACATTAGCAGATGATTTACCATGGTCCATAATAATTATTAAGTAAAGTTAGAGAAATTGAAGAACGAAAGCTTTAACGATAGTTTCATTGTTTCATTCAATATTTCTATATGGACATGACATATGAAATGGCAACATAATTTCCTCGACCAAAAATTGAGACACTCTGCCAAAAAGGAATTGTTTCCTTTTACATTATTCAATAAAGCTTTTTTTTTTAATAGTTACCAATCAAACTCATATGTGTGCCCGAGTTAGGACAGATTCCAGTTCAAACAACCAATTTCCAGTTTGTTACAAGCAAAAACAAGGAGGATACGAAGTGGAGTTGTGCATTTGCAATAGCGGAAGTGGTTTGAGCAGTATGCCCTGTAACAGCAAGGGAATAATTACTTCCAAACTTACTGTCGAAGTTATTTTAATAGCTCTGTTATTGAATTTAATTGGAAAAGTATTATTTTGACGAAAATATATTTTTGAATAAAATTACTGTCAGTGCGTCTGAAAAAATAAATTAATCTCATATTTTGTATTTTCTCGATGATGAGATATCCAAAAATAAACATATTTCATAAATATAAATTCCCAAACAAATTAATCAAATTTATTTGTTCTGTTATCTGCCAATCATCAAATTTCTGTTAATCCCTTATGATATCAATTTAATCTTTTTGTATTTTTATCGTCTGAAGGTGGCGATCATAAAGTTCAATAGATTTTCCATAAGCCACAAAGGTCTGGAAACGGATACAGCATAAGCTAAGTCTCATCAAAATTCCAAAGATGCTAACGGAGAAAATCGGGTGGGCGTATAAAGGAAAAATCAATGTTGAGAGTTTTACGTCATCATCGGCTCGAATTCAGCGCAATAACCTACCCAAATTTATTATTGTGAAGCTCTAGGCGTGGAGACGTAAACTTTTTTCAATTGCTAGGGCGAAATTAGACTCTGGCATGGGACGGGATATGACGTAGGTAAAGTTGTTCGAGACAAACATCTTAATGTTTATTTGAAATTAAGCATCAAGTGCAGTTTGCAATATAGCCATAAACTTTATCTTGGTTGCTGAAGGTTTATCAAGAAAAGTAATACGAGATTATTTTGGAAACAAACTAGATACCTACTGAGAGTATAACTTACTTGCTTACAGACCACAGGGTCCTTATTCTTGAAACAGGGGAGCAATGTTCCCAGGAGAACAAGTGTTCCGTCTTTCTCAACGATATGTAAATGATAATAATATGAATAACAAGGACGGATTACTCATTCTCCTGGGAACGCTGTTCCCCTGTTTCAAGAATAAAGACATGTGTATGGCTCGTAATAATTATTGAACTTCTTACAAAGATTGTTGTAATGCTGGAATTTGTAGAACTTTAACAGGACTTTTCAAAACATATACCGGGTGTTTTTCAAAACCCGCTCACTCGTATAACTTTTTTATTTGTCCAAATAAACAAATGAAATTTGGTGTGTTTTTTTATGACCCGAATGTGCATTATTTGACGTATTCAATTATTTATTATCACTTCCGGTTTGACCAGAAGTGACCGTAACTTTCTTATTTTAAATGAGACGACAGGTATATTTTTCCTTATTTCAATAAAAAACTACATTACGAGTACAATGACACCTCATTTGTCACTTTTTGGCATATCATCTCCAAATTATTTAAATTCTTGCTTTTTAATCTAGAGCGCCATGTATTAGTTAAAATGCTTAATTTTGCTTCAAGGAACCTGGGAAAATTTGTTTTGATCTTATTTTGTATTTTATATCCTCAACAGACTAATTTAAAGATAGTAGAAGGGCATTTTTGGAATTATATCAATTTTTTCAAATGGAAAGGGTATGGCTCATTAGCATATTCCGAGAGAGCATTTTCTCACGAACAATTTAGTAACACAATCCAGTTTATTCAAATATTGAACTAAAATTTTTCAAAAATATTTAGAATGCTAGGAAAATTCTTCATTTGAGTGGATGAAGTAGCGATTGTGTGGTACTGTATTGCTCGTTAGAAAACGCTCTTTTGGAACATTGTAATGAGCCACACCCTTTCCATTTGAAAAAATTGAGATAATTACAAAAATGCACTTCTATTTTTTAATGAGTCTGTAGAGGATATAAAATACAAAATAAGATCAAAACAAATTTTCCCAGGTTCCTTGGAGCAAAATTAAGCATTTCAACTAATTCATGGAGCTCTAGATTGAAAAGTAAAAATTTAAATAATTTGAAGATGAAATGTCAAAAAGTGACAAATGAGGTGTCATTGTACTCGTAATGTAGTTTTCTATTGAAATGAGGAAAAACACACCTGACGTCTCATTTAAAATAAGAAAGTTCTGGCCACTTCCGGTGAAACCGGAAGTGATAATACATAATTGAATACGTCAAATAAGGCACATCCGGGTAATAAATAAACACACCAAATTTCATTTGTTTATTTGGAAAAATAAAAAAGTTATAGGGGTGAGCGGGTTTTAAAAAACACCCGGTATGTCCAATGACCCCAATGGGCATATGCAGAAATATATACCACGTTACACATTTTTTGAATGCGCACATAATGCAAATGAATATTGCATACTTATATAGGTATAGACTAGAGATGTATCCAAATCAAAAATTAATAACTTGATGCCACTTCCTTTTCATATACCAAACTTCCATCTAATTGGTCTGTTTTCGTGCAATTCTGTTTACAGTTCAGACCATTTGTGCTCATACTAATGTGTGAAGTCCAATTTACATATAGGTAGTTTTTAAATCGAAGGTAGCTAGTTGCGCAATCCATTTCAGGTGAGAAGTTTGTTCTAGAATATTTATTAAACTACTTAGTTTATTCCAGTTAGGGCCAAGTTATGAATCAACTGGTAAGTGTCTGGTTCTGGTTGTTACCTAGCAGGTACTTTCTATTCTCTAGTGCATAGAAAGTACCTGCTAGGTAACAACCAGACGTTTACCATTCAGTCCATAATTTGGCCCTTAATAGGTTAATATTGCCATCATTTGATTAGTAAACTGGGCCAGGCTTCGACACACGTCAATGACGTCAAATGAGATCGATAGAAGATATGACGTAACATTGAAATTGAAACTAGTATGTAGGTATGATGTTTTCAAGAAAACAGCAAAAATGCCATTTTCCCTGATATTGACAAAATAAACAAAGATATTTAGTTTTACATAGAACATACCATTATGTATGTACCTAGGTACACAATAAGTTCAACCTAGGGACAGCAAATCTCAAGAAGTTTTACTAATTTAAAAGCTTATTTATTCAACAAAAATATATACATAATATGCCTTTCTAAGATGATATAGGTACCTGAAAAATAAAAATTCCTCTAATAATAAACACACTAGTGTTTTAAACTTTAACGCATGTTAAAACCCAAAAAATTAATCCCAAATTTTATATGATTAGAACAGCTTTTTGTTGAGCCAACAGATTCTGGAGGAGGTAGTTTTATTATTACATAATATATCAGTCATTTGAAGTGTATAAATCTGAGGTTCCTGCTCGTGGTTTTGTCAAAAATGTCATTCGCGAAATTGCCAAGCAACAAACTTTTATACCAGTCGAAAATTTTGCCAGCAAAATTTTTTCTCTTGTGGTATTATATATGAAAATTTGGCTTGTTCCTCTCGTGAAATAGTCCAGCTGAATACCACTCAAGAAAAAATTATGTAGGCAAAATTATTCTCTTGGTTTTATTCAGAGCTTGGCAAAGCCGTCAGTGAAAGGGCTTGAAGCACTAAGCCCTTTCTCAAAGTGCTTTCAATTTCAAGTACAAATTCCTTTTTATTTTCAAAAGTGCTTCACAAGCACAAAGCCCTCAAAGTGCTTTGTGCCCCCAAAGTAATTTATAAAGTGCCTGAAGCACATCAAAAGTACTTGGGGTGCCTCAAAAAGGGCTTTAAAGCTCCTTAAATGTGCTTGAAGCTCTTTAAATGTTTTAAATGTGCTTGAAGCTCTTTAAATGTGCTTGAAGCTCTTTAAAGATGCTCGGAAGCTCTTTAAATGTGCTTGAAGCTCTTTAAATGTGCTTGAAGCTCTTTAAATTTGCTTAAAAAGCTCTTTAAATGTGCATGCAGCTTTTTAAATGTGCTTGAAGCCCTTTGAATATGCCCTGAAATCTTAATACTCCTAACAACGCTAGTAAGCAATAAAAATACAAAAGCTTACTTTCAATTTCCTCAGTTCATTTGACTAGAGAATCTTTATATTTTGTATTTTTTTGCAAATTACAATTACAATAATTGTGAATGGTAAATGGTATTGGTAACCAAAATAATTGTAAGTGTGGGTAATTTTTTTTTACATGGTATCCTATCCTTACACATCACAACAATTTCATGAAATTACTAAAATTGTATTATTTGTCATTTTCTTTGATGTTAACAGATGGCGTCACAAAAAAATTAGCATATCGATACTGTATCGAAATATGGATTTAAAATATCGATGCCATTTGACGAGTATCGATATTTGTAAAATATCGTACCTATTGAGAATAGAAATATCGATAAGCGAAAATCTAGATTCTAGATAAATATCAATCAGAAAATTCGGTGGTAGGTATGCGGTATAAGCATTCCGACACAGAATAGATATCAGAATTAAGCAACAAAACACATAGATTCAAAATTTTTAGGTGGGGGATAGGTTAAATGATGGTTAATTCAAATTTCTTTTAGAGTGCTTCAAGCCCGTTTAAAGTGCTTCAAGCCCTCTCAAAGTGCTTCAAGCCCTTTTAAAGTGCTTCAAGCCCTTTTAGAGTGCTTCAAGTCCTTTCAAAGTGCTTCAAGCCCTTTGAAAGTGCTTCAAGCCCTTTGGAAGTGCTTTAAGCATCTAAAAGTGCTTCAAGCCCTCTAAAAGTAATTGAAGCTTATTGAAAGGGCTTGAATTACTTTTTTTCAATTACAAATTACCAAGCACTTTTCTGAAGTAATTGACTTTGCAAGCCTCAATTACAAATATGTAGAAGGGCTTGATGCACAGGGCTTTCAAGCCCTCAAAGTGCTTCAAGCACTTTTACAAGCACAAAGCACTCAAGCCCTGCCCAGCCCTGGTTTTATTCATGTTTGTTGCTTTTTGGTAATATCGCTCATGAAATTTCTATCATATGAAAATACAACTTCATAAGCAATTCCAGCTAATTGTGGCACGTCATATATGTTTACTGGTCGTTAAGCATTATTGGGGCCAGTGTTATTCTTGGGGAATTTTCGTGTGTGCCTGCAGCAACACTCAAATAGTGCGAAACAGTGCCACTTAGTAAAAAGTGATGTGAGAGGGTTTTTTGACTTTTCACCTATTTCTTTTTATCACATGATTAAAAGGAGAAAAGTATAATATGTAATAAATTTACTATAATGACAATTGACCACTGTCACTGTCACTGGTCACACTCAGATCCACATCAGCCGGATTCTACTTCACGAGTCGAGTCGAAATTCGTATCCAATTGTCAAAATAGTGATTCTATTTTTTAATTTTTTAATCCGTATTAAGCCTAGTTTTCATGCATCCGTTTATCCGTCAATCCGTTGATCCGAAAGTATTCCTATTGGCCCAATATTTT